GGGGGGGGGGGGGGCGTCCCCACGCAGACACGCCTGCGCACTTCGCACCTTCTATCGGCCACGAACGGGTGGGGGCGATCGGAGGTTTCCCTCAAAGGAGAGGGGACTGCGGTGCAACTGTTGGCGCTGCAGGTGTCGCGTCCGACCTCGGGGAGTCGGTGACAAACGTCCACGTGGCCGATGCGAGGGAAACACTAGTCGCCAAGGACAGTGGCACCGGCCGCGGGAGAAGGCCGGCTGCAGGCGGGAGTGGGAGGAGCCGTGCCACTGGGGCGCCGACGAACAAACGGGCCAGAGGTGCTGGAAGCGCAGCATCGACTCTGCCACCCGGGGCACGAAAATGGGCAGCGTAAGTTTGCAGCGATGGCGCCACCGGTGGTGCCGATTCATCGCCGACTTCTTCGCCTGAAGATCTCTCCCGGGACGGCAGCCAGAAACATGTGTGGACCATGGATGACATCATCCATCTAGTTCGGTGCAAGCTAGAGTACGATGATGACCAGGAGCGAGCGCAAGCGGTGAAGGTGGGGGCGAAATTCAAACCCGACCCCGTCCAGTGGGAAGAGATGGCAGCGCGCATGCAGGAGCGGGGTGTGAACAAGGACGAGGAAGAGTGCAAGGGGAAGTGGGCGCAGGAGATGTCCCATTACCGGCGGATTCACGATTATCAGGGGGAGTCTGGGAAGCCCGATTTCTTCGACATGAATTGGGAGGAGAAGCAGCAGTGGAAGATTGCTTTATGCATGCGAAGGGAGGTGTACGATGTTTTCGAAGAGTGCTACGGCAAAGATCACAGTATCAGCCCCCCCAACTTGTCGGATACGGGAGTGCCGTTCAACTCTTCATCGCCTGGCTCTAGCGGTGCGGAGTGCGCGACATGCGAAGGCCAGCGGGATGCAGGATGGCGCCGGCGGAAGACAGTCCGCGAGAAGGTCGCCAACGGAGTTGTGGACGCCATCGGCGGCCACGGCGCCTCGATGACGTCCGCCATCGATCGGGGAACGGAGACACAAGCAAAATCCGACAAGGATTTTGTGGCCGTGCTCATGCTCCTCGTTGAGAAGATCGGGGTGAACGCGCATGTGATGGCGGAAGCCATGGGCCGGGGTGCGGGGGCCGGGGTGCGGGGGCCGGGGTGCGGGGGCCGGGGTGCGGGGGCCGGGGTT